TGTCTTGCTTCCTACGCCCCGCAGCCTGGTGGTCGGCTCCATGCCGGTGCTGGCTGTAGCCAAGCGCAGTCGCTTGTGAAGAGCTGAGGGTGGAGTTCAAACTCCCTCAGCAGGAGACAGCTGCGGTGCATGCAGCTGGCTTTCTGCTCCTTGAAAGATGACTGATTGATGAACAAATTGGCCTGGTTCAGTTCAGTATTTTTAGTTAGGTTTGTGGGGTTTTTCCCTCAATTAGAACAAACTATAAATTTCTGATGCAACTGGGCTTTAGGGTGGTTAATATTTTGGGTCCCCCCCAAAGGTCGCTTTGCAAGGGAAGGCATCGCTGGAGCCCTGATCAGCTGTGGGAGCTGCTGTTTCTTTTTAAAGAGAATTTAAGGTTTAATTTTTAATATTTAAGCTGGTCATCCTTAAAGGAGACAATGAAGTAAACACCAAAATTAATGTAGCGTCCTAGTTTTTAGACTGGAGAAGGAGTCCCATTCTAAGCAGAAGAGACACACAGATGTTCTGCTGCTGATCTGTGCATGTCTCAGCTCGGCTCCCTGGGCCCGATAAGCCCATGCTTACCCATATGTTAATTCCTCCTAGGTTCTCTCGTGGCAAACCTTACTCCTCTGCTGAGAAAACCAGACTCAGTTCTGAGAGTGGATTTCTGCTATGCACAGACCTTCAAATGTGCCACATCTCCCGCATGTAACACGTGCCCTTGCCACCATTCTATTGCAAACCATCATCTCTAGGTGCTGTCAAAAATTCCCATGTTTTCAGGCACCACATAAAAATCAAATTATTAAACTGAGTGTTGTACGTGGCAAGGACATGGATTACAGGGCGCTGGCTGGCCTGTGGCCTGAGGTTTGTTTCCTTGATCAGTGTCATGCAGCCTTTGTTTCTTAAAAGAATCCAATAAAACAGCAACTTCAAGAGATAAATCAAGACTTATCTCCTGGCTCTCCAGTTCTTCAGCTCTGCTGTGTAACTACTTTAATTTCACGTGTACGACATTTTGTACGTATGTGGATGGACTTGAGGGGAAACCATTTTCTAGTGACAACTTTCGGTTGACTTTTTATCACAGGCAGATCACTTTGGCATCAAAAGGAGAGGAGATGGCTCAGGTTTTGACCAGACAGGCACTAGTTACTTCTCTCAGTAGTAAACGACCCCGTGGTAATAGATGAAAAGACACAGTTGTTTTGAAATCTATCCCCAAATGGGGATTAATCCGGGATTACTGTCCCCAGCATTGTGTAACTGAACAGCACTACACGCATCCAATTCCTCTACCTGATCGTTATTCCTACAAGGTCATAGTGGGCTTAAGTTCACATGAAATGTGACCAGACAATTCCATAGCCAGAGCGTGAAGAGGTGTTTTGGGGTTTTTGTGTTTAATGCAAGGCTGTAAATGAAATCTGATTAGCTGAAGAGCCACCTAGGTAAGAATTAATTGGCTGGAGGAGAAGATACCTGGGAGACATGGCAAAGATTACATCTGTGCTGCTTTCTGCGGAAGCCGCTTCTGTTAATTCACACCTTGACTTGTGTTAGATCAATGGGGTTCTGTTAAAAGGCAGAACCGTTTCTCTTCATCCAGTTAGGCTGAGCCAGTCCTTAAAGATTTTGTTGCCGTGATTAATGCCTTTGCTTCCCAAATGCTCTAGATACAATAGCAGCTGAAGGCAAGCCAGAAACAGAGTGTTTATCATTACCAGAGTGTATAAATGCTGATGCTCAGTGCTGGTGTTGAAATGGTTATACTGGTTTCCACAGAGCTCACAGTACCACCTTTGGCTTGTTGAACACGCCATGGCTTGGGGGCTGCTGCTTTCCAGTTACCTTCTCCCTGTGACCCACCGTTCAGGTTGCAGTAAAGCAGAGATGCTCAACCAGGAGGTTTTGTAGTTCAGAACAAAGGCATCTTCTGACACCACGAAAGAGGCTCTCGATTTTAAACTCAGGGTTTAAAATAGTTGTTACCCTTTAGTGGAGGGGTAGTGGGGTTTTGGGGTGGGGGTTTTTTGAGCGTGGTGTCTGCCGTAGCCACTCAAAATCCTTTTGTTTGTACCTATGACTGCCAGCAGTGGCTCCTTTGGATTCAGACGAAATATGCCATGCTTGCAGTGTCGTTAATAGACTAGTTTTTTCTCTTGGGGAACTGTAAGAAAGATGAGCCGTACCAAAGATCTCATCACTATAGCAAAATCCAAAAAAAAAAAAAAAGGTGGTTGCTCAGGCCTTAGCAGATGAACTTAGAGCACAGTGGATGAACTCTGGACCACAAGTCCAAAATCCACTTGCCCAGTGATTCACAGGCATGGGCTAATCTCTACGACTGGAGTAGCTCCTGGCATGCTAACTTAAAGCATGTGTCTGTTCTTGAACAATCTTGACATTAGGAGAATCACAATCTAACTGTTCTCCTGGGTGGCCAAAAACTCTGGCAGTGGGAACAAGCCAAAAGCACATCACTAGCAGCATCATTTAATACAGGAGACTTTAAAACAGGTATCTAACAAACAACACGGTGCCCACCTCAGAATCACTTTTTGCTT